GGGTTTAGGGTTCTGCCACTAAAATTGAGACTAAAATCCAGAGAAGGTCCATAACTCTACTGATATCGGAGCTACCAATCACTACTGGGAATCTTACAAATTAATAACTAAGAAATTCGTTTTAAAATGCCAGTCCTTATGTAGCAGAAACAGCACCATCTGTACAGAGGAGGAGGAAAGTACAGTATGATTCCCCCATATCCGCAGGACTGGTACCCATGGTTTCACTTACATATGTCTGAAAAAAATATGTTCTTTCTTGACATTTTCTAGGTCCTTCAGCACATTTCTATGGTATGCTTCTGGCAGAAGTTGATCATAGAGTTGTGCAGGAGGATCTAGAAAAACCTAGAGAGGTGTTCTCTAGGAATCTCTAGGTCCTCCAGTGCAACTCTATGGTCGATTTCTACCAGGAGTCATTCATTTCAGTAAGGTTCGGTATTATCCAGTTTCTCATTTCCATGGCAGGTCCAGGAGCAGTCCGGAGTATTCTGGCCCTGGAGCTACCTTGGTATCCCCCCTGTTATCTTGGGCACTCTGTTTGAACATCAGGCAACTGATTGCATGTGTGCCCTGCTTTGCCACATGATGCTGGCACCTCTGCCTTTGCAGGCACCTTGTTCTGACCTCAGAGTGAATGATTTGCAACAGCACTGGGTGGCACCATGGGAAGTGTTGTAAACAGCTGTCCAGCATCACAATGGAGGGCTCCAGAAGATTCAGAGCAAGCAGGGTTTTAACACTGTTTTAAGATGGGATATATGATGGTTTGGTGCTGAACTGGCCAGATGTTGTTGAGACAGCTCACACCAGAACCAGAGATTGGGCTCTACTTTGTCAAGACTACTTGCTGTGGGAACAGGTGGAGAACATTTTATTTGGCCCATGCAGACAGGACCCTAGTCTTCCTAGAAACCCAAAAAAAAACCCCAGGGTGAGCTATTTATCCTTAGACCAGGGCATTCTAACAAACTTGGCCTGGATCAGGGCATGGACTACAAACATGATGTCAACAAGTGGATGATTTTGGGTGGCAGGCAGTCATGGACTTGGCACCTAAAACACCAGTTTGGAGATTGGAAACTCATCCTTGTTATAGTCCATGGAAAGTTACCCCTTGTGGAACTGCATTTTGAGCAGGTTCAGGGACTATGAGAGTGATCGCACAGAAAGCCTCAACTTGAAGTTAGCATCAGAAACTGCAGTCTCAAGACTGTCCAGTATTTTTAACCCTTTGTTCATATTTTTCTTTTTATACTGATGCTCCCCTACTTTCCTGCAGCAACACTTCCTTCACCCGAGAGGAACTCTTGAATGAAGCCCGGGCCATGGATGAGGCACGTTTCCTCTATGTCCTGCGTCTCTTTGGCCTCTTTGTGGACAAACTGCAGCCAGATGGTCCTAGTCTAGGCCTTGTGATGGAGTACATGGAAAATGGCAGCCTATCCTCCCTGATGGGCCAGGTCAGCTTCATACCGTGGGCTCTCCGGTTTCGCATCCTCTACCAAGTAGCACTGGGGATGAATTTCCTGCACAGCCTCAGCCCTCCATTATTACATCTGGACCTCAAACTTAGCAACATCTTACTGGATGCAGATCTGCATGCCAAGGTGAGCTGCTTTACCCTTTTCTTTAAGTCAGGAAGGAGTGTAGCTATATGTATGGGGGCAGCAAATGGTGGGCATTATCCCCAAATCATCATCATCACCATGATATTTATATCCCATCTTTTCCCCAAAATTAAGACTCAAGGTGACTTATAATTTAAGCCTGTATAATGGATATATCTCATTCTCTAATTGTTCCTTAACTCCTAACCACCACCACCATCTTTGTTCAGGTGGCTGATTTTGGGCTATCCAAGTTCAAACGTGGAACAACTCAGTGTGCCAGTCAAGTCTCTGGGGAAAAAGGTGGATATGGTGGGACACTGGAGTACCTGCCACCGGAAGCCTTTTCTGATCTCAACTACAGGCCGACGCCTGGCACAGACGTCTACAGGTGAGCAGAGGACTCTGTTATGCACTGGGGCTACTAGCTATAGGTACACTTATCCTTAGCACCATAAATCTAAGGATAGTCCCACCTAGGGTTGCCAGACTGAAAACTGAAGAGGATTCCTGTACCTTTAATGGTTGTGTAGGAAAGGGGATTTCAGTAGGTGTAGTGTGTCATGCAACCAGGTAACAAGCAACACCTGCTGAAATTCTTCTTCATAAATATTAAAGGTACAGCAGTCTTCTCTGGTAATCTAATGACGTTAAAAGTGGAATTTTAACAGTATAAAAGCATCTTTGGCAGGTACTTGTTGCAGGACATTGTATCCGTCCTGCTGCTGTGTTACATTCCATTTGTTACTGTAGTGTACCTTTTCATTGACAGGCAAAACCTGCCAAACAGCTCTCAATTTCATTGCTGTTCCATTCCCTTCTGCTTTAGTTCCACTTCTCAAGCAGTCACATGGTGTAAGTGGGCATGATTCTGCTCCTCTCCCACTCCCCCCTTGCAGCGATCCTGGTGGCCAACACCTTCCTAAAGCTGGCCACTGTGTACACATTCATACTGCAGCCAGATTCAGTTGGCATCACAATCATTTGTGATGTTGGAAGGTGTCATTTGGCAGTATGGAAAACAGATCACACAATACGGAATTGTGAAAGTGCTATTTCAGGGAAAAGTGAGATAAGAAATGATGCCAAACCAGTATGCTTTCATTATTAAATTAGTCCAAATGTGTCGGGACAACAGGCTGGTGTGATAAAGTTCTTAATCCTACCTCCCACTCAAAAGTCATCACTCAGGAACAGAAAATCCACAAGGTAGATCCAATAAAAACCACAGCCCCTTTCTATTTGCTTCACAATTGTCAGCCTTACTTCAAAGGTTGGAACTCCCTTTGTGCATAACCTGTAACATTGGACCTCCCTACCCCTATAAGCACTGGAGAAGCAGGTGATGGAAGCATTGAAAAATGTATTCTGGGAGAAGAGAGAGGCCCTTATTGAGGGAGAGGTCATTCTCTCCTGGCTCTAATCCACTTTTTTCTCTCTCTTTCAGTTATGGGATCCTCATGTGGTCATTGTTATCATGGCAAGAACCTTATTCAAGTGAGTATGCTTCTTCCCTTGTGGTTCCTTTCTGCCTGGTAGCAGTGTTCTAGATTACTGAGAGCATGTATGTAGGTGCCTTCAAGTTGCCTGTCGATTTATGGTGACCCCATTCATTTCATAGGGTTTTCTTTGACAAGGCATCCTCAGAGGTGTTTTTGCTGGTTCCTTCCTCTGAAATGTAGCCTACAACACCTAGTATTCATTGGCAGTCTCCCATCCAAGTACTAACCAGGGCTGACCCTGCTTAGCTTACACAATCAGATAAGGCTGAGAATGTAGCTGTTGGGAAGAAACAGTTGTTATTGCACTTCCAAATGTACCACATTGAGGCCTGCTAAGAGAACACATGCTCATGAATATCTAGTGATCAGGTATGATTACCTAGGATACATAAAGTACAGTGTACTGCCAATTGAAGGCACATCCAGGCTGATTGAAAAGGCCAGAAAACCCCAGATTTTGTTCCTGTTCTTTCCAATTTTGTTTTGGAGATCCATACATGTTTTGTTTATCCCAGAATATTTTATGTCAGCTCCTGGTGCAGTCAGAGATTTTAAATATATATATATATATATATACAGTGGGACCTTGGTATTCGCTGGGGTTTAGTTCCAGGAACCCACGTAGATACCAAAATCCGTGAATGCTCAAATCCCATTAAATACAATGGTATAGTAAAATTGTGTCCCTTATGTGAAATGGCAAAATCAAGGTTTGCTTCTTAGAATTTATATTTTTAGAAAATATTTTCAAGCTGTGGATGGTTGAATCTGTGGATGAAAAGTCTGTGGATAAGGAGGGCTGGCTGTATATACCAGCTCCACAGGTCAGTTTATTTTAACCCAGAATAAAATTGGAAAGAAAAAGAACAAAAATCTGGGACTTTTCAGACAGTCTGGAGGTGCTCTTAGACTGCTTCCGTATTGTTGAATAATCTTGGACATTGTTCTCTCCAAGGGTCCTGGAAAGTATAGTTCACTGAGGATTCTGGGAATGGGTTCCCCAGGTCTCTTTGCTGAACCGAATTGAATGAATGTTCTTTGTGTAATATAGAACAGTTCAGAGTGTTTAAAAGATTGTAAATAATAATTAGGTCCAGACTATTTAAAAACGGTATTTCTCTCTTTGAGCTGTCCAAGTTCTAAGATCCTTGGAGGAGAGCTTTCTCTTGGCCCCCACACCATAACACATTTGTTTGATGAGGTTACAAGAGAGAGCATTTTCAGGGGCTGCTCCCAGGCTGTGAAACTCCTGGTCACAAGAGGTCCAGCTGGCCTCTTACCTGCTCTCTTTCCACAGGCAGCTTATATATAGGCAGGCATTCTAAATTATATGGAGGAATCGTGTTGATAGAGCTGTTTGTTTTTAGTTAATTTGTTTTAAATGTATTTAAAATGTTTTTTAAAATAAATTTTATTATTAATAATAGCATTGACACAGATGGACAAATAAACAATAAATCTGACAAGCAACAAACAGAAAAAACAAAGGCAACAACAACAAAAAAAGGACGACAACTTATAACATTCCTATTAGGCTTCCTGAACTGTGCATGTGAAGATCAATATATACATTATACATAAAAGATAGCTCTTACAATTTCTTGTATCTATACTCTTTAAGTCACAATCTAAAGAATCTTACATATCCTAACCTAAATCTAAATGTAAGAATCCAAAGAATCTTACATATCCTAACCATAGGATAGGTTTTGACTGTTTGTAATAGTTTTCTGGTTTGATTATTTTTAAAAAACTTTTGTAATGTATATTTTAGCTAACTTCTATTTTATGTTTTATAAGCTGCCTTGGCTGCCTTGATGGGAGGAAAGCAGGGTATACCCGGGGCTGAGATTGTGTGGGTAGCTCAAGGTCACTCAGTGGGTTTCCATGGCTGAGTGGGGAATCGAACCCTGATCTCCAGAGTTGTAGCCCAGTGCTCAAACCAGTATACAACTCAGACTCTTAGGGATATACAAATATACAGCCTACCCCTTGGAATATACAAATCAGTGTGCCTTTGTGGATTGTTGCTGTTGCTGTGTGGCTTCAAGTTGTTTCTGACTTATGGTGACTCTGTTATGGAGTTTTCTGGGGCTGAGAGTGTGTGACTCACCCAAGGCCATCCAGTGGGTTTCCATGACCAAGCAGGGAATCGAATCCTGATCTCCAGAATTCAAGTTCTATACTCAAACACTACACCAAACTGCTTCAATATTCTTTTTATTGATGACATATCTGTTTCTATCCAGATCTCCCACCTAGCAATATGAGTTCTCTCATCAGTAGGCTCATTCCCCAAGGCCAAAGGCCAAGTACAGATGTTCTGGAGAAGACAGAGAATGTGCCAAAGCTGGATGATGGGATCAGGCTCATGAAACGGTGCTGGCATAACGAAAAAGTCCAAAGGCCTTCTTTTCGAGGTAATGGAAGTGACACTTTTCCAACTGGCGACAGGGTGGTACTCCAGTGCAACAGGAGTTTGTGTCCTGTCCAAAAAGTGAAAGGAATTTGCATTGCTCTAGAACTTAAAACTTTTGGAGTCAGAGAGAAGACGTTTTATCTAAGACCCAAACAGAGAAGCACTTGTTTTCTCCATTTATTCCTGTAATGTTCTGCAGGTTTCTCTGATCCCCCTTAATTCTGGTGGAAATCAGAAAATATAACATCAGTACTAGAATTCACAGTTTGCTGGGAAGTTCGACTCACTGACCACATCCACACTGCAGAAAACAATCCAGGTTGACACCATTTTAACTGGCATGGCTCAGTGCTATAGAATTCTGGGAATTGCAGTTTATTATGTCACTAGAGCTCTCTGACAGAGAAGGCTAAATGTCTCACAGAACTACAGTTTTCCCGAATTCCATAGCATAGAGTTACATCAGTTAACATGGTGTCAACTTGGATTATTTCTGCAGTACTGCACAGCACAATAAAACAAGATTTATAAAACAATTCCATAAGGATCCTGTACAGAAGGAGTCATAAAGGTAGAAATCTCCATGTATGTTTTGAATGAGACTTCAAATATTGACTATTCTGGCTGTGGCTGATGGATGTTGGAGCCCCAAAACATTTGGAGAGAGACAGGTTTTCCAGCCATAATATATATTGGTATATATTAACAGCTAACCCATTCCCCGAACCTTATATAGTCAAAATGGCTCTCAAAGAACAGGCATTAAAAGGCGTGGAAAATACCAAGGTTTTCAGACATATAAAAAAAAAATTTAGAGGGAAATGAAACTTAAAGTGAGGAACCAAAACCAGCTTAATATGGACTGAATGTGCTTAGTCAGTGTGGAATGCTAACCAATTTGGGGTGGAAAGTGGATAATGAAGTATAGGGTAGGCCCTAGGCAAAATCAGTGGGTCCAGATGCAAGTCTTACTACTCTACTCCAGTGCTTGCAAGTACAATGGGCCCCTGGTATCTGATGGGGTTTTGTTCAAGGACCCCCCATGGATACCAAAATCCATGGATGCTCAGGTGCCATTGTATACAATGGCATAGTAAAGTTTACCTTATATAAAATGTCAAAATCAAGGTTTGCTTTCTGGAGTTTGTATATTAA